TATGTGATGCCGTATATCATGTTTTGCATCAGAATGAAAATTAGGAGATGAAAAAATGCTAGAATACTTTTTAAAAATATCTGTATATTGATTTTCAACCGTGAATAATTTTGGAAGTTCCTGTTTTACATTTTGTATTCTACCAGTAGAAATAATAAAAGTTTCATTATCTATTAATTTGCGTGTTTTAAAATCTAATAGCAATCCAAAGTTACATAAGAAATCTGCACCTATTATTGGTTTGGTTATGTCTGCAATTGTAAAAAGAAAAAGAAATTTCCTGCGTAAACCAAGGTTCACGTTCAGGAACTTAATTAATAATTTTTCATCGATCGTTTTATCGCCGGCGATTTGCATAAGTTCCCTATAAAATGCGGAAGGTTTTTTGTCAACTAACTCTGAGCTTGACAATAATTTATTCAACCGTGCTTCCTCTGATAGTGTTAACCTACTGAGGATGGTATCTTTTAAAAAATCATATAGATCATTGACTGGAGGTTTACTAATTACGTCGTAGACCTCGTCGGGATGTTGTTTGTCCTCTGCTGGGATGTTCTTTCGTCGGAATGTTGTTTGTCCTCTGCTGGGATGTTCTTTCGTCTGGATTGTGTTTCGTCGGGATATCCTTTGTCCTTCGTCGGGATGTCCTTTGTCCTTCGTCGGGGTCACCAATATTTAGTGGTCCCGTTGGTTGGTCCACTAAATTTAAAACTACAAAAAAATAATTTTTTACAAATTTTATTTAATACATATATATAAAAAGAATAGACACTTTCGAAATATATAAAAATTAAACCGATCGATGAAATGTTTATAATGATCTCTCTGCAGCATAGCAACGGCGGTCCTTTTATACTGCGTTCCAAATCCGCCTACTTGAGTCTTCTTTTCATCCAGAAAATCCTGTAAAGGTTTACAAAAGAAAACACATATCTTAATTAACAACGGTGACGTTATTAAAAAAGAAGAGACCAGATGGTTGTCACTCCAAAACATTGCATATAACCAAAAAGTAAAAATAATGACATAAAACGTCAAACATGAAAAAACAACTAAAATGTCATAAACAAATCTGTTAAGTTCTTTGTGGGCTCGTCAAACAGGACGCGAGCACCACAAGTATTATGGCCGGTTTCTATAAAACGTGTAAAAATATGCTTTTAAAAATCCGTCAAATTTTGGGCCTACCCATATTGGAATATTTTTTCATACGAAATAATATTTATAGATTTCCATAAAATCCAAAAAAACGAAACGCGTGATTACAGTTTGTCAACAGCATGTATAACTGAGAACCTTTCCCAATTCAGCGTTATATGGTCCGAGCATTTTCTTTATGCAATTCCTACACTTTTTCAGATACCTAATTATAATAACATTAATAAAGTCATCAAGAAAATGGGTTTTACAATGTCTCCAGAAAAATCAGCAGTAATGTGTTTTACTAGACATCGAGTCAACCTAGACAGACATATTGATTTTGATGGAGTTATTATTCCCATAGTCAACCAATATAAATATCTAGGTATAGTTTTGGACCCGAAATTGCTTTGGGCACAGCATATTGAATATGTAAAAGGTCGCTCTGAGAAGGGCCTCAATATTCTAAAGAGTGTATGTGGGAAAGCATGGGGAGCAATACCGAGTATAGCATTATTATTCTATAGATCTTACATTAGGTCTATAATTGACTATGGCTGCATATACTACGGCTCAGCTGCGAACACGCATCTAAAAAAATTGACAGAATTCAGTATAAAGCTATTAGAATATGTACAGGTACATTCAGGTCATCTCCAACGGATGCAATTCTGACGGAGGCTAACGGACCACCATTACGCTTAAGACGAGAATATCTTGCTAAAAAATATATTACTAAGCTGAGAACATACAATCCGTCATTAACATTTAACATATGTAATTTAACCTTTAACCACAGAGGACTTGTCCAATCCATACTGGCAAAAGAAAAATTCGCCTCCCCTGACAACTGGCTTCTTGCAAACAGAACAAATAAAAACTAAAATGATCGAAGAAAATATTTTGCCAGGATTTAATTATTGTTATAAATTCGTTACTTTCAAACCCACTGTCATATACCCTACTTATACAGATCTTCCTATAACCAAAACGTCATTAACAGTATTATAAATCAATTAGACAGTAAAATAATAATATATACTGATGGAAGTAAAAATAATCACGAAGTTGGCAGTGCCTTTTACGTATCAAACAAAAATGTAATTCAACGGTGTTTTTTCATTTAATTAAATTATTTAAAATTAATGTTTGCCATTGAAAAAAGTTTATGTTGGTGCTCCGACAATGACATACAGAAAGCTACCATAATCTCGGACTCCAAGTCGTCATTACAGACATGTCTTAAAGATAGTATTATCTGCAAAATAAAATACTCACTGTATCAACTATCTCGCGAAGGACATCATGTTAACTTTGTCTGGGCTAAGGGACATTCGGGGATACAAGGCCATGAAAAGGTGGATTTAGCTGCTAAAGAAGCCAGAATATTAGATAACTATATACAGACTCCAATATACCAAGACCTTAGCAACTTTTATAAAAATGAAATGTTCGAACAATGGATGTTACGGTGGAAAAAAGTATCCTCTAATTCCAAGAACCCCTATTTTTTGCTGCACAAAGAACTCCCAAAAAATGTACCACATATTTTTGAATATAAAGTTAACAAACACTATAGCAGCACAATTTCTAGAATGAAAATCAATCACGGTTGCTTTCCAGCTCATCTGAATAAAATAGGTATATTAGAAACCTCATACTGTGAAGCGGACGGGGAAACTACAGATCTAAATCATATATTTTTTCAATGTGGCAAATATAATAATAATAATAACAAACTATTATTTAATTTATATAAATTTAATATCAATCCACCTCTCAATATTACTACTTTACTCACAACTTTCAATAAAAATGTTTATGATATAATATTATAATTTGTCAATGAAAATAATATTATGATCTAGATTATTACTTGTATCATACCCACATGATAATCTAATTAAAAAAAAATATCGTTTTGAGTGTGTGGCAAATGGCTTACGGTCGATGCAAAAAAAAAGTTTTCATAATTTTCCAAAACTGGTGATAGTACCCAGCAAACACACATACTATGTACGTACTGATGGAACGTAAAGTACGTACTTTACTGTACGAAGTACGTACATTTTTCAAACGATGGTACGTAGTACATGCGTACTTAATGTGCGTTTTAAAGTACGTACTGTGTACGTACGTACCATGTTTGTATTTATTCTAATAGAGTACATATTCTAGACGTACTCTACGTCCTTATTGGTACTTACTTATGATGTATAATGTACGTATTAGTGCAATGCAAAGTTAATTTGTATTTAATTTTTTACATTAAAATAATAATTTAAATTGTTTTATAGTGCAAAAGACCAGTAGGGTCCCATTTTTTTATATCAAAAATATTTATAATGACATCCTCTAGTTGCTATATCAATAACACATACATTTTTGTAATTGTCAGTTATATTGGGAAATTCAAAAATAAAGAGAAAAACATGTTTTATTTTAAAAAAAAATAGATGACCTCATGTACATGAAAGACACGTAGTAATAACATTTTTTCTGTGAAAGTATTTGTTAAAATACTGTTAAGACAGAAAAATGTCGAATTTATTCCAACCTATACGTCATCACTGTATATTGATCGTGATCATTGAAAAATATACATAACTCACTTTGTTCAGCAAATAAAAACTTAAAATATGATGTGTCCAACACATGACTTCCCTGTCTTTTACCTAAAGTTATAGGCTTTTTCCAGTTATTCTGTACTACTGTAACACCCCTGTAAATATTTAGAGGATGAACTAAATACATACATTTTCCACACACATCTTACTCCAAAAGTTTTTTATATACAGGGTGTCCCAAAAACGTAGGCCAATCCGTTAACCATAGATTCCTAAGAAATATCTATTATTTTTTTCGATTGGGGCCATCATGTTCAATATACTTGCAACTAGCGCCCTCTATGTGGTAGGTAATTTTTATGCTTAAATTATGATGTCATCCCAAAAAGACGCCGGCATACCAATTTTAAGCCTACTTAATAAAACGACGAAAATATAATGAAACAGCATTTTTGAAATTAACTATGTCACCCTGTATATTAAACAAGATGGCTCCAATCGAAAAAATAATAGTAGAGGTTTCTTACACTGTCCTAAGGAATCCATGGTTAACAGATTGGCCAACGAAAATTCTGAAAAATTTAAATTTTATCATGTATAGAACAAAAATTATGAAGAATTTTCAAAATATTCGTGAGTTTGAAGAAAATTTCTGGAAATGATTTAGGCACTAGTGGTATTATAAGTGAAAATAATGAAAAAAAATCGAATTTTGCACATCACCTTTTTATCCAATATGGTCCATTTTAGAGAAATCATGAATAGGGCAAAAATTATAGAGAATGACATCACAAGCAACTTTCATTTAAAGAATTTTATTCTCCAAGCGTAAAAAACAGTTTAAAATTTAGTGTTTTTATCTATTTTTGAGTTATCGTGGATACAACCACAGACATCGTCACGAAAATAGCAAAAACGAATTCAGGGTACCCCAATACGTAAAAATCCATCAAAAACTCGAGGCCGAAAAAAAATCATGATACCTATACTTTTCTTCTGTATACAGACAGAAAAGTAAAAATGGGTTTTATTTAGTTTATTCCAAATATCTTATGAACGGTTCCCGATATCAACGACTTTTTCGTCTTTAAATTGTTTATTGAAATGAACAACTTTTTCCCCATTTAATCGACCATGAATATACACCAAAAAAAAACAGTATAAAAAATGACATTTGAATCGCTTATTGCAGTAATTTTTAATTTCATTGAAACCATCAAAATTTTGGGAACCAGGTTTTTGAGTTAGGTTAACCAATTATAAAATTACATTGAGATTGAAAAACTTTATTACTATAAAACTACTCGTACATAAATCATAAAAAAGATACAATTAGAGAAACAGAAATTAAGACAAAATACATTACTATAAAACTAATCATAAAGAAATTATGAAGAAGAAAAAAATGACACAATTAAACAAAAATTAGGACAAAACAACAAAATGTTGTACAAAATCAGTTTTTTATGATTTAAAAAATCTAAATACTACTTTTACTAATTTAAAAAAATTTACTCATATAGGTACTTAAAATTAAAAATTAATTTATTCAAAAAGTTTTGTCTAATAATAAAATAATTAAAAACAACACATATACAGGGTGTTCGATAAGTACGGTACATAACTTCAGCGCGTATTCTGCAGCTAAAATAAAGATATTTTTGTCATATACACTATGTCTCAAAAATGCTTCGTTACGGAAATACAGGGTGTGAAAGTTTCATAAAAAAAATACAATTTTTTTAAATATTTCCAAAACCACTTGAGATATTTTAATTAAATTTTTGCACCTTTTGAGAGTTAGCAACGTTGCGTGTTTTACTGTAAACACAGTGGCTTTCGTTTAACCAGTGGCGTGCGAACAAGGTAACTTTCACACCCTGTATTTGCGTAATGAATCATTTTTGAGACTTAGTGTATATGACAAAAATACCTTTATTTTAGCTCCAGAATACGCTCCTGAAGTTATGTACCCTACTTATGGAACACCCTGTATATAAAACTAATTAAATCATAAAAAGACACAGTTAGAGAAGAAAAAATAAGACAAAATAGATTAAACTAATCTTACAAAAATCATGAAAACAAGACACAATTAGAAGAACAAAAATTAAAACAAAATACAATATAACAAAATCATCAGTCTTTTATGATTTAAAAAAATCTTAATCAATTTACTTATGTACTTAAAAATTAATTTATTCTTAAAGTTTTGTCAAATAGAAAAACAAACATAACACATATTTAATGTGAGTGAATAAATGTTTATCATTGAAACTATAAAAATTCATTATTACTATAAAACTAATCATACGTAAATCATAAAAAAGACGCAATTGGACACAAAAATTAGGAAAAAAAATACATTCCTATAAATGTAATCATAGAAAAAGAAAATTTAAGAACAATTAAGACAAATACAAAATAACAAAATGTTTTAGTACCATCACTTTTTTATGATTTACAAAAATATTATTGCTTACTTACTTATTGTTTAATTTTACTTAAAATTAAAAACAAATTTGTTCCTACAATTTGTTACATTGTTACCAAACGTAGAATACTAACATTACGTCAAGTCTTGTAAAATAAAAATATTGATGAAATTTAATGTGAATTTATGGAATGAAGACAATTACTTAAAAAGTGAACAAAAAAATGATAAAACTGCTACTAATAAATAAATGGAATTAGAGCCTTTCTATTCTTAGGAAAATTCTTGAATGTCTTTTCATACCACCAGTGACTAAGCAAAGAACATTCCACCTAAAAAATATTTTCCAAAATAAAACATACAATATAAAGAATTTAATAATTGAAAAATAAAAAAATCTTAAAAAAAATTTCATATAAAATACTTTTTAAAGTTTGCAATGTGCTTTTTTTTTTCATAATATGTACTTTAAGAGATAAAAACCTGGTCTTTTAATGTCTCTAAATTGTTTTATCTTATTGTATAGGAATATAAAAATAATATATCGAATTTGAAAACTCTTCAGAAAAAGATATCTACTATTAGGCCAGTCAATTTTTTTTTATCTTTATCGGTAAGCAGGGTTAGGTTTGGCCCAGAACACTGCGGCCTCTTGGGTCTATTGTATTCCCCTGCTTTGTCCTGTGTCTTTGTTTAGTGTTAATAGGTTCCCTACCAAGTGTTCCTGGGGCGTTCTTTCCGGTTCTAGGCCGAAAAAGATGAAACGTCGCCCAGCACATGGTATGAGGTTTCTTCCTCTTCCATGCAAAGTCTACACGTAGTGGGATCATTGTGTAATCCCATTACGTGTTCCAGCAATCAGCGCCCCGTTAGTAATCCCACAATGGTGGATATCTGAGGCCTCGCGAGTTGTAGTGCCTCAGTAGCCATGCGTGGGTTTGGTCCCCTTAGCATGAGCTTACTGATTCTGTGTCCTCTTATCTGTTATCAGTGAATTTGGTGTTTTGTGGTTATCCACCTGTTCACTACTAGTCGAGCAGAGGTTTTGCTTATCCCAAATACAGGTTCGGGTCCTGTGAATGGTAGATCTGATCCCTCTTTGGCGAGTTCATCAGCCTTTTCATTTCCTTGGATACCTTTGTGCCCTGGTACCCACGCTAGTTTTACCTTGTTGTGGGTTGCCAGATCATTTAGTATTCCAAGGCAGTTCCAGACAAGCTTTGACTTGATTCTGTTTGAATCAAGATCCTTTAAAGCTGCTTGGCTATCTGAGAGAATTAGGATGGTTTGTTTTTTGTACTTCCTTCTTAAATTCTCTCGTACACACAATTCGATTGCATGTATTTCAGCCTGAAATACAGTGGCATGTTTTCCCAGTGAGACGATGATGTCGCATTTGGGTTTAACTCCATGTACGCCAGAGCCTGTTCCCTTATTAGTTTTAGATCAATCCATATACCATACGAGACCGCTAAGCAAGTATTTATCTATTTCCTTATTTACCTCGTTCCAGTTACAGTTGACCTGGAAGAGTCTGTTAAAGGTTAGGAGGGGTGTCATATGATCTGATCCCATATTTAATATAGAATCATTTACTTCATGTGTTATTCTGGTATGTTTTATATGTCACAGTGGGTTCCAGTTGTTGGAGATTTCCAGTCTGTATGTACTCATTCTGGCCTCCCCCTTTATGACTAGGTCAAGGGGTGGGAGGTTTAGAATTATTTCCATAGAGGCTGTCGGTGTACTTCTCAGTGCTCCACTAATACAAAGCCATGCCAACCTGTGTACTCCTGAGAGGGCGTTGAGGGCTGTTTTCTGGTTTACTTTTGGCCACCAAACAACCGCTCCATAAGTTATCATGGGTCTTGTTATCGCCAAATATAGCCAGTGGACCATTTTGGTTTTAATCCCCATGTTTTTCCAAATGCCCGTCTCCCTACAATGAGAGACATTTTACATTTGTTGGTCACTTTTTGTAAGTGTTGGTTCCAAGTAATTTTGCTATCTAGGATTAGACCCAGATATTTTACTTCGTTCGTTTTGTTTAGCCTTCCCCTTATTTTATAGGAATATAAAAATAATATATCGAATTTGAAAACTCTTCAGAAAAAGATATCTACTATTAGGCCAGTCAATAAAGACATCCTATTTTGAAAATTTAACATTAATTACAACTTTTGCAACCATTTGCAAGGTCCGGAACTAGTTAATTTATAGCAAAATGGCGCTTTTGGAAAAAAATTGCAAAAGTGCTGCCAACTTGAAGCAATATATATTGTATTATTTGCAACATTGTATCAGATTTGCAACTTTTTGAAAGTCTGCCAACATAATTTTTTTTTGTTTATATCAGATAAAAAAATTGGAATAGTGCTACAAACCTATGACGTAACTCATACAAGTTTTTGGAACAGCTATTCCAGTTTGCAATCTTTTATTATTTTGCAGTTTTAAAATACAGTTGACGAATTTATTTTTCAAGAACACGTCTTTACGTTATAACTACGAACTGAACTGAACGAGTGTATCCACTAAAAAAAAAACCTGGGTGGTTTTGAGAGAAATATTTTTATGAAAAACGGAAAATCAAATTAGTCGTTTTAAAAGCACCCAATGTACAAGTTGTTCACGAAGCTGTTTAACATGGATAATTTTAATAATATTGTTTATTTCATTTGCGAAAAAGAGTTAAAAAATCACTTCTTTATTTAAAAGTAGTGAAAAAGGACATGATGCTTTTGTTGTCGGGTTGAAAAGTGTCAAAGTGCATCAAAGGTTTAAAAAGTCATACACCAATGCAAAAAGTATTAATACATTGCTTAAACGATCACGTGGAATAATTCCAAGACAAGTGCACTTCGAATTTGGCAGCACAGCCGTTCGATTTTGGAAAAGAATGTTTATTTTGCGGGGAAGAAATAACTGAGAAATTTTTAGAGAGAGAAAGCAGGAAAGCTGCCGAAAAACGTATTGACATATTCAAGTTTAGAAGAAGAAGAAGATTATTTCCTTTGAGAAACCTTAAAAATACGGACTTTTATTCTTTTTCAATTTTGTGAAAATCAAAAAATATTTCAACAAAATATCGTTTTTCATTTCCTTGTTTTATCAATAAATATTCTGTATATAATCATTATTTTAAAACGTTACAATTAGAACTTTCTTATAATTTAATATTGTTCTGTTATTTACTCGGCCTTATCACTAAACCTAAAATTGACAAATTAAAAAATAAAACTATATCTACAAGACACTATTAGCTTTTTCTATTTCATTATTTACAGAAAAATTTTCATAACTTTTACAATAACAAACCGTATGCATTCGCAGTAAAGTTAATGTGATAAATACCAACTCATTTTTTTATATTGTTGCTGAATCAATTATCAAAGAAGAGATAATGAATGTTTAAAAATTGACAAGTGATCCCTTTAATAAATGATTTCCTATTTTTCCCATTAATTTGTATTTAAAATTACAAAATATAAATTTTTCAAATGTCCTTCATGTTTAATATATCAATTTTGGTCAGGGTTACTGTTTAAACCAATAACCAATATGCAACCTTTCGTCATGATTTTCTCAATAAAAAGTTATAGATCTTTTATAAAGAGAAATATTAAATTAATTGGGTTTACATATTTATATATTATGCCTTTGTTTTGATCCGAGCTTTTTTTAATATCAGAAACAAAATCTATACATAGTTATGTCTAAAGTCAATCGTATTTTTGACATATAAACAAAAAAATATCAATAAATGTAGGACAGTCAAATATCAGATCTAAATACTTATTTTTACCCATATATTTCTGATAACCTATAAGTGCAAATTAAGAAAAACTTTCTTATTAAACTTTCTATACGTTTACATAACTATAAATCAACAAGGATTTTTCTTAGTAAAACCTCGAAAATACCTGTTAAAATTATGGGTAAAAAGTTACGTTAAAAAATATTTTATGAAATTCAGTATTTAAAATATAATTTAATGTCGTTCAGACCACCAGATCACCAGACCACGATGTTCAGACAAAAATATTTGGGCCATTACATTGGCCTGGTGTAACTTTACGTTGTCCTAATGAAACTTGCATCAGTGGGACAAGATCGAGCTTTTTGTTAAACTTTAGGGACACTTCTCTGACCATGCACGACCTATTTAAAAATGTATGTATTTTGGGTTTTTGTTATTTTTTGTTTGAAATCCCATTCTCAAGATAATGCATGCAATCCTTAAAATAATGATAAATATTATTTATTTTATGCGCGGAATTAATTTTGTATTTAGGCTCCACCTTTTGTTATAACTTTTATATAGGACTATCCGCACTTCTAATACCCCACATGCATTGGATTATAAATTATTCCAATTTTTAAAAATGGAAATAGGGCATTAATCGAGAACTACCGACCCATAGCAGTCATATGTAATTTTAGTAAAATTTTTGAAATATGTATAAACCGAAAACTTTATACTCATTTTGCAAATTACGTAATTACTCAGCAACATGGTTTTGTCAGTGGTAGGTCGACAGTAACCAACCTAATCGAGGCGACACAATTTTTTAGTGAAGTATTGGAAAATGGACAGGTGGACGTTATTTACTTAGAAAACTGAATTCGGTGTCTATTTCGTATAACCTGCACGAATTATTTTCATCGTACTTATATGACAGGTGAAATATGCTAAAGTAAAATCCTCTAAAACCGATTATTTTCCACAATACTCTGGAGTTCCACAAGGTTCCATTTTTGGACCGCTATTTTTTATTATTTTTATTAACGACATAGGTCAGCATCTAGACACTAAATTTCTAATCTCCGCGGATGATTGTAAGTTATTTAAAAATATAAATAATATAAATGACTGTTTATTATTACAAAATAACATTGAGCTGATTCAAAACTGGTGTAATTCTAACTGTCTAGAACTAAACGCGCAAAAATGTAACGCGATGACATTCACACGTAAAAAAATTGGAATCCAGTACGACTACGTAATTGGTACTACACGTTTAAACAGACCAAATTATATTAAGGACTTGGGAGTTACTTTTGACCCGAAGTTAAGTTTTGTTCCACACATTAACGACGTAGTTGCTTCTGCTTTTCGAATTCTTGGATTTATTCTCAGAAATATGAGTGATTTCAAAAGTATAGACACATGCAAAATGTTATTTAGTTCACTCGTTATATCCAAATTCTAATACGCAAGCGCAGTGTGGTCCCCAATATATGATGTTCATATTGCAAACCTAGAAAAGGTACAGAGACGATTCTTGAAAAGTCTCCATTTTAAAATTTACGATTATTACCCCCCTCGCGGATTTCCACAGGATCAGTTGCTTCAAAATTTTAATTGTGTAAATCTTCAAGATCGTCGAGTAATGCATTCTATATTATTTTTGTTTAAACTCGTGAACTACAAAATTGGGTTCCTCGTATTACCTCGAGAGATCACCAAACTTTTTTATTGCCCATACCGCGAACAAACATTTTATTACAATCACCACTTTATCAAATGCAAACCAATTTTAATGCTCACTCTCAAAACATTGATATTTTCAATTGTAGAGAATGTGATATAAAAAATTTGTTTAGGTTTTGGTAATACCTAGTTTTATCTTGTACGAGTACGTCTTATTTTACTTCAATTTTTATATTTAATGTGTCTAGTTCTAGTTTTACTTAGTTGTCCGAATTCGTTTCATTTTTGTAAATTTAATATTTACGTTTTCATGTATTTAATGTATGTATGTAATTGTATTTTATTTTTATATTATTTTTGATTTGTATTCCACCTGTAATAGGTTTGTACCGTTGGTTGGATAATAAATAAAATAAATAAATAAATAAAAATAAATAAATAAAATGTTTTGCCATAATTTTTTTCATAAAGCAGTAAACAGGAAATTATTTAAATATTTGCATGATAGGTATAAGGTTGCAAATTCGATATTACTTGTCAATGTATTTTTTAGTTGTACCCTTAGATTTGCAACATTTTTGTTTAATATCGCAAGGCAAATTTGACCATAGACAATTATTAATCATTTGCGCTAAATTTGGAGCGTTGCAAATTTGCATTTACTTATATTTGCAATACTTTTCAATTTTTTTGCGACTGCAAAAAGTGAGAATTGTTGATTTTTGTTAATTTTTCATGGTTCCGGACCCTATCCAATGTTGCAAATTTACCAGATTGATAAGAAAAATAATATTACCATTTGCAACTAATTTTCAAAACTTTTGCATATTTTTTTACAAAATTAGATGAAAATAAAAAATTATTTTGCCAATTAAAAAATATTTCCGTGCAAAATAAAAGGTTGCAAATTGGAATAGCTGTTCCAACAACTTGTATAAGTTATGTCAATTTTTTTATTTATGATATAAACAAAAAACGCTATTTTACAAAAAAAATTCATGTTAAGAACTTTCACAAATCTGATATAATGTCAAAAATTATACTATAATATATTGCTTCAAATTTGCAGCACTTTTGCAATTTTTTTAGAAAGTTACAATAAATTTTATTTTTTGAAATAATTAATTCATATGTTGCAAAGTTACAAAATTAAATTTATAATAATTATTTAAATTTAAGTATGAAAACTTTTATAATTAATGTGAATTGGTTATCTTTAATGACTGGCCTATAATATGTACTTTTTACATCTTTTCGCACCTAATAGGTAGGTTACTAGCTCGAAACACTGCTAATAGTGAGTGCCATAGAACAAAATTCTAGGCTAATAATAAGCACTCCTGGCATAGAGTTGAGGCCTCTCTACATCTCTTGTGTGGGGAATAGACCAGATGAAAAGCCTCTTGTTTTTTTTTTGAACGAGTATTATACTCGTAAAAAGTAATTTCAATCCTATGGTAACTTATTTGATTCACATCCATCCTTCATGATTTCCATTAACGGATTTTTTAATTTCTTCTTCAAATAATTTAATCGCTTCCATCTGTTTTTTGCTTAGCATTCCTTTTGTGTAGAAGATTTGTGTTCGGCGAGAATTGGCTAACACCGGCCGATATAAGAGAAGCACCTCTTGGCGACGTTGTCGACTACATTAAATCTGTAGGCCTAAGTACTGTGGGTTAACCCACCCTCCACACGTTACAGATATAGATCCCATTTGTGTATAGAGGTATTGGTAACTTTCTTATGCAGACTTATTTTATTGAGATAGATAGTTAATTTGTTTTACACAATAAACCAAATAGAGGGAAGATGACACAGCTTGCGTCGCACATTTTCCGAAACTCATTTTCTATCGCTGTCTGATAGTCCCTTATCTATTTGCAAAAAGTGGCATGTCAGGTTTTTTGCTTGCTATTTGAGTAAAGTACAAAGGAGGGAAGTGAACAACAGGTACTATGTCCAGGTGGTGGGAGCTGTCGTGTAACCTGTCAAATTCAAAATCATGTTGCTTATCGATAGATTTTTCGTTTTATGCTGGCAAATAAATAATTTGCTTCTAGACGTCTATAACAATAAAAAAACCCCTTTTCAAGCATTTTCTGTCGTCTGGTTTTGGTACCTCCGATGTATGGAAATCTCTGCACTTACACCGAATGTAGCAAAACCGGACGACAAAAAATGCTTGCAAAGAGATTTTTTTATTGTTATAGACGTCTAGAAGCGTGAATTTCATTACCAGCAAAAAAACGAAAAAATCCATCGATAAGCAAGCTTACTTTGAATTTGACAGGTTACATTACAGCTCCCACCACCAGGGCATGTAGTTCACCCCCTTCCCTGTGCCCAACTACAAATAGCAAGTAAAAAACACGACGTGCCACTTTTTGCAAACAGATGAGGGACTAAGACGGTTCGTTTATATTACATAGCTTGACAAAAGTGCCAGTGACAGTGCTCGTGTAAATTCATATTTAAAAATGTCTCCAGAACTTCAAAACATTATAACTTAAAGGATGTTATTCCAAGTAATTTATTAATCGATAGACAAAAAATATTAAATGTTTTTTTTACCTGGTTTACAATGACCCACATGTAAACATACCACCATGTAGTGTTCTTGTACAAAATCAAAGTAATTGAGGTATACATCAATATTTCAGCAACTTGAGGTGGACTTGAGAGATATTCAAACCAATCTCCAAACGGAAGTTTATGTTCATTTGTAATTACTTCGCCTAAAAAAAAATGGTGTTTATACATTCTATAACATACAAAATCAACTATTTATTTAATTTCATTAAAAACAGTTGCAGTACCTAATGATTGAAGAAGTAGTAAATGCACTAGTTTAGTGTGATGTCATTTTGGTTCCACTGACATTTAATTCTAACTAAACTTTTAACAAAAACATCAATCAATTTGACATATACGTTTCTGTTTTTAGTTTATTTCTAAATATTCTTTACAGGTATTAAAAATAGTTTAAAGGTTTGTAATTGGTAACTAAACGATTGTATATTTGATGCATCTACTTACTTTAGGAATATATTTATTGAAAGTGAAAAAACGATATAATTTAGGTAAACAAAACGAACAAAACGCACTCAAAAAATCTACTGTCACCTTAATTGTCAGTGGAACCATAATTACATCATCACTAAACTAGCGTATTTTATATATATTTAAAAAATAATTATACCATTTTTATTTTTTCTCAAGTCAGCCAAAATTTTAGAAGTCGTATATTGGTGCCACCAAGCCCACAGAAACAAGGCAATTGCAAGACAATCAAGGACAGTCAGTTTTAGCAAGTTGATGTCGTTGCTGGCATATACAGCTGAAAAATAGTAATAATAGTAAATTCTTACAGAGTTTCAAATTATACACTATCAATATATTAATAAATCCTTTACAATGTCTTTATATTTGATGAAAATAATGATAAGATATAACAAATAATCTAATGTTATAAATTTAAAATAATTAATTCAATTAAAAGTAAAATATATGTCTGTACCTCAGAGGTAAATAATCTTATAGATTTGAAGAAAATGATGCCCATAGTTGGAAATACGACTTTTAGCTCTTTGAAAAAAGAAAATATAATTTTTCTAAACGTACCTACTATATCAAAAACTAGTACTAATAGAGGTACTATTTACCACTAAAAATATAGGCTTTAGGTATTTTAGTGAATGGATTTTCTACACTTAATACAAAACTGGAGATATGATTCATTACCTCTAAGGTACAAATGTGTAAATTGGTTCTCAATCTTACTATTATTCGAAAATTTTGGGGCTTCACTGAAAAGTGCAATGGCTGCTCCTGGATAATGTAACATGCCAAGGGCGTAGTGTATGATATTAATTCTGCTGTTTTTGCCAAAAACAGAGACAAAATGAGTGTCGTGGAATCTTCGATACACTTGTAATGTCATCAAACACAACGCAATGTATACACTAGTAGCAGTAACTAAAAAATCATGCAGTATCAATAATATGAAGTAAAACTAAATTAAACTAATTTTTTATAAAAAAAAAAAATCCCAAAGCATTAAAATGTCATGTTTACAATTAAAAAAATTCTAAACGCTAATTCAGATTGTATGATTAACTCTTGGCGAGTTATAGTAAAACAAATTTATCATACCTAGTGATTATTCCACAGAGACGTGAATTACCCGTTATAAGAATGAAATATCAATTTTATCAAAATATGGTTAATAGTGAATTAGAAATAGATTTTGAGTTTTACTGCTAATTTACCAGTTGTGAGTTAAGTTTCTTGATAATAATATAATAATAATAATAACAATACTCTCCCTAATTCACCCCCTTACGAGTGAATTTCAACCCCTGAAGACGACTGAGCGACTTGTGTAGGGGAAGAGGCGGCCATTATTATCATTTGCCGTGGAGCTCTGAGGCAACTTAAAGATTATTGATGGTGCCATTTGACTTACAGGTGAGAAAAACCCGGAAAATCCCATCCACAATCATCGAAACGTTACCGCATCGCGGAGATATAGCAGGGACAGAAGTTGGAAAGGTTTTTGCCAGTTTTCCCACTTCATACACAGAATTTGACAGTTTTGACGCGAAGCTAACCGAAGTGAACACGAAACATTGGCGTAGAAAATTATTTTATAAATGCTAATAAAAATTTCACGTAAATAGTTTAATAAATTGTGAATAGCTGTTGATTTTTTGTAGAATTATGATTTGAGATATTACTTGTTTAAATAACTATTTGTAGACCATAAATAGATACGTTTGTCCGATTCCGCTGGTAATAATTTAAAAAGTTTTTTTTTTTCTATGAGACGACTATGGTGAACAAACATTGGGTCCTATGATTGAACGTTTACGTTATCCGTAACGTACATGTTAGGCTCAGTTTTAACAGTAATTAGGCAAGTTCGTATGATGAAAAACGCTTTCCAACACATTACTGTTATTTTCCGCCTGTTATGTTCTAATTTAACAGTTTTCCATCATACAAACTTGCTTCGTTACTGTTAAAATTCGACCTAACATGTACGTTATGGATAACATAAACGTTCAATCATAGGACCCATTACCTCGAAATTCTTGAAGTCGTCCGACGGGGTTTGCCGTTTACCACCTCTTTACCTACCAAAAGCCTTTCCAACTTGTCCCTGCTATAGGATAAGTTAATTAACTACGAAATTCAATCGATTTTATATATTTTTAAGAAACATCGAAAAATTTTTTAGAAATTCTAATACAACTCACAACAGTACGATGGTGCAAAGAAAGGTCCTTTATTTCTGAGAAAAAAGGACCTCAATCCCAACTACTACTACTCACATAATATGGCCACACCCACCCCTAAACCCACAATAGTAATAGCAACATTAATTATTAATACTCACTATTCGATTTGCGATCTTCCTGAGTAACAGCATCCAAAAAATTAAAAATGTGTTGTGGTACATCATTTCCAAATATGTAAACATTTGTAGCTTGATACAGACCATAAGTAAAACAAATAACTGCTACACAGTAAAAATGTTTAAAGTAAGATTTTGGGAAGTCCAAAAGAAGATTGCAAATGAGTGTGGACTTCTCTGTAACTCCGAATTTGCCATATCTAAATGCCTCTCCAATGAAAGGAACATATTTTTCGAATACGTTGACGAAGAACGCTCCTATTACGATACTAGCTGCGGCAGTAGAGAAACCGAATTGTGTGTAATTCATATCGGAGTCAGTGTGAAAACAATTTTGCCAGTTATTTCTAAAACAAATGAATGTGGTAAGAAATAGAGTAGTTTGCACAACAAGAGTATGATGGCCATATCGCAAGACGATGTTCTATCCACTCTAGTTACACAGTATATCTATTAAAGATAATCTACAAAAATTTAAAAAAAATAGTTTTATTGGAGCGCATAGCATCAGACAAATTATTTATCGCAGTACTATATATACAGGGTGTTTCAAAAAGATTGATCATAAATTATACCACATATTCTTGGGTCAAAAATAGGTCGATTAAACCGTACTTACCTATATACAAAAGTGCACCCAAAAATAGTTACAGGGTGTATAAGGTAAAAATTTAAATGAATTTTTTTAACGTTGCTCTTAAACCGTTTGGCATTTTTTCATGACATTTTATATGACGTGTTAGAATACCACGACTAATAATATCGAGGAAGAGGCAATATTTTTTTATTGATTTTTATAGGTTTTTGGAGGGAGTCACCGCTCTTTTCTCCACTCAACTTTTTTGTAGTATAAAATTTAATTACAAATGAAACGCCACTGGAATGCAACATCCATTTGGAAACTTTTTTGTCTCTCAGTATTTGTTTGTAAAAAATTTAGTTTAGACGATACAGCCATTTAAAATGACAACTTAAAAATATTCAATGGAAATTCTACGTATGAAAAATATAAAAATCAAGTTTATTTTTAAATTACAAACTAATGTCATCAAAATAAAAAAAATTAATTTAACAGGTGTTTAAAACTACATTCTCCTCCTGTATACACTTACTACATAGTTTTAACAATGAAAATCGAATTTTGATATTTTTGCATACGTATAATTTATATTGAATATTTTTAAGATGTCATTTTAAGTGGCTGTATCGTCTAAACTAAACATTTTACAAACAAATACTAAGAGACAAAAAAGTTTCCAAATAGATGTTGCATTTCAGTAGAGTTCGATTTTATATTACAAAGAAGTTGAATAGAGAAAAGGGTGGTGACACCCTCCAAAATCCTACAAAAATAAAAAAAATATATTGCCTCTACCTCAATTTTGTTAGTCATGGTATTCTAACACGTCATATAACATTTCATGAAAAAATGCCAAACGGTTTAAGAGCAACGTTAAAAAAATTCATTTAAATTTGTATCTTATACACCCTGTAACTATTTTTGGGTGCACTTTTGTATATAGGTAAGTACGGTTTAATCGACCTATTTTTGACCCAAGAATATGTGGTATAATTTATGACCAATATTTTTGAAACACCCTGTTGTATATTTTCTGAAAGTTTAGACTCGATCAACTTTATGTATATTATTTTAAATTTTAGTTTTTGGAGTAAATTTAATAATAACGTCAAAAAGTATCTAATTGAACCAAAAGTAAAGTAATATTTATACAGCGTTTACATTGCAGTATGGGCAAAAAGGAGAATCCAAAATTTAAATTTTATATAAATATACAGGGAATCGGCCATGGTTAAGTTTTAAAAGAGTAATTATAGTTGACTGATATACAGGGTACTAGTATATTTGACCGACAACGCTCTGCTCCAGAAAGCTCTCATTAATTGATAAATTTTGATATAGGAACATGGACTCTTAAAAGCCTCAGTAATCGAGATATAGGGTGTTAAAGTTTGAAATCAAAATTTAAAATTTGTCATAAATCTAAAACACCTTTAAATATTTTTTTCAAAATTGGTGTCCAATATGTATCTTTTCAAAAATTTAACCAGTAAAGCGCTATCAAGGTTAGTGGCAATTTTTCCCCCTATTTTTTACGCCACTAAAACAAAGTGTTTTTTATTTTATTTTTGTCTCTTTTCATTTTTAGTTAAAATAGTAAGAACCTTTTATGCAGCTAAAATGAGAGGTGTTGCAGAAATTTACTTCTAAAGAGAAGTCTGCATTTATTTAGATACATAATTTGTCACAGCTCAATATTTGTAAATTTGAATCTAGTAAGCAAGTGTCAAATTTTTAATAAAATAATTTTAAAATTCGGAATCAAATCTCAAAAATCCCCTTACGAATTATTAAGACCATCCCCGAACCCCAAAGGTGAAAACAAATACTGGAGATTTGAAAATAAGCCTGTCGTCGCCTGGATTCGAACCAAGACATCTTTGTTCTCTAGACAATTGTCCTTACCTCTAGACCACGACGACATTGACTGTCGAGATTCCTAGACGCCGTTTCAGACTCGTTCTTAAATCTTTAAATACCTCTCTACAGCATCGGTATATATGATAAATGCACTGATGGATACTAAGCCTATATCTATATATCAAAATAAGATATCTAAATATGGACAGCAATGCATTCTCATACAGGGTGGGTCAACGAAAACTTTACACCCCAATTTTCCGGCTTTAAAATGAAAATCGGGAAAAAAGCTCGAACCCGTCGATTTTTGATTCGAGAGGGAACCACTTGTTTGGTTTTTTCATCTATGTAACTTCAACTCTCTAAGAGGGCCTTGGGTGTTTTCATAGACACAGAAGGTGCTTTTGATAAAACCACCTTCCCAAAGATAATACACTCACTAACAAACAGGAATGTTCCACAAATGGTTAGTGGGTGGATACATAACATGTTCTCAAAGCGAGCAGTATACATAAGTGTAGAAGATGTGAATAGAAGAGGCTTGGTTGCGAGGGGATGTCCACGGGGAGAGGTGCTATCACCTCTACTGTGGAATATGGTCCTCGACACCCTCATCAGCCGCCTCAATAATGACAGTCACTATACAATCGCATATGCAGATGACCTGGTCATTCTGCAAACTGGGAATTTTGAGAACATACTCTGCGAAAGAATGCAAGTAGCTCTAAAAATTATAGAACAGTGGTGCAAGGACCATTCACTATCTATCAATCCTAAGAAGACAGAAATGGTCCTTTTCACAAGGAAAAGGATGAAAATGGAATTAACTGTGGGATGCACCTGGGGTTTCTCCCCCAGAGTCGTCGCATGGACTTACATGGCTATCATAAGACCCATGCTAACATACGGTGCAGTTGTCTGGGTACCGAAAACCCAAAAATTAACAGCTATCCGTAACCTAGAACAGCATGTCTCAACATAACAGGAGCGGTGAAAACAACACCGACCAGAGCGATGAAAGTCATTCTTAGTCTCACTCCCCTTGATATTTACATCAAGGAGGTTGCTCTGACGACAATGACACGCCTCCGCACGGTTGGAATAAAACCTGATGTAGAATCTGGTGAGGCGAGACGTCACTTTTGGCAGGAGACGCTCGATACGCTCCCACTGCTTCAAGCGAACATGGACTCCATCTCACCGAGATGTATCTTCCATAAGCCATATAAAGTTATAATAGAACAAATAGAAGAGCCAGAAGTGGCAGGTACGATTCATATCTACAACCGACGGTTGTAAAACAAAACAAGACTCAGGATGTGGAATATACTCCACATTCTTAAACCTAAACATAAAATGGGCTGTGAGCAAACAAATACTTGACTATGACTAGACATAATCTGCGCCTAGTCACAGGCATTCTGACTGGTCATTGCCAAGTACGGAAGCATCTCCATATCATGGGGCTGTCAGAATCCGCACTCTACAGAGGGTGCGAACAAGAAGATGGGACCATCGAGCATATCCTTTACGATTGCTCGACGCTCTCATTTATTAGAAGATTTGTGTTCGGCGAGTATCGGCTAACACCGGCCGATATAAGACAAGCACCTCTTGGCGACGTTGTCAACTACATTAAATCTGTAGGCTGACTCACGAGCTAGGAGGTGCCTATCATCTTGGGAGGATGCACAATGGACCTAATGAGGCCTAAGTGCAGTGGGGGTAACCCACCCTCCACACGTTACAGATACCCTCTAAGAGGGGGAAGCACAACCCCCTGTTTTTGAATAGGGGCGAGTGGTGTTGTAATACCTCATTTCGAAGATCTCGAGTACTATTTGACCCTAAAACTTGCGTCAAATTTTTTATTGATAACAGCTAAAACAGTGAAAGAGACAATGTGAAAAAAATGTCTACTTATTAACAAACAAAAAGAATACTTACTTCTGTGATTAGTTTATTAAATGCTGGAAATGGCCATTATTCACTTCCATGCAGTAAAATAAGTTTTATTCAAGAGGTTCTCGTACATTACGCAACATGTCTGGTGTAATATACGACATTCATTCATTATACGATTTCGCAAATCATCCAGTGAATCGAAGTGGGTAGCGTAAATCTTACATTTTAGATGACCCCATAGAAAAAAAAGTCCAGTGGATTCAGATTAGATGACCTGGGTGGCCACTCAGAATGCCCCCTTCTTCCAATCCTGCTTTGAGGAAAATTCTCATCCAAAAATTGACGGACAGTTTGTACGACCATATTGTTGAAAAATTCTCCAATACTTGCACGAGGGCTGAATAAAAAGCGTTCTCTAATAATTCCAGATACACTACGCTATTGAGATTACCGGATATAAAAAAGGGACCGATTATGTGATTTCCATAAATACTCGCCCAAACATTTAGTTTTTGGAGGATGCTGAGTATGTACTTCATGAAATACTCCTTAAAGTATACAAAACTTATTTGCCGCATGGAAGTGAATGGTGTCCATTTCTAGCATTTAATAAACTAATCACAGAAGTAAGTATTCTTTTTGTTTGTTAATAAGAAGACATTTTTTTCACATCGTCTTTTTCGCTGTTTTAGCTGTTATTAATACAAATTTTGACGCGAAGTTTTAGGGTTAAATAGTACTCGATGAGATCTTCAAAATGAGGTATTGCAACACCCCTCACCCCTATTCAAAAACAGGGGGTTGTGCTTTCCCCTCTTAGAGGGTTGAAGTTACATGGATGAAAAAACCTAATCAAGTTGTTCCTCCTCGAATTAAAAATCGACGGGTTCGAGCTTTTTTCCCGATTTTCGTTATAAAGCCGGAAAATCGGGGAGTAAAGTTTTCGTTGGCCCACCCTGTATATATCAATGCTGTAGAGAGGTATTTGAAGATTTGAGAACG